TTTTCTCTTCTCTTTTAGTGAGAGTCTTATCTTCTTAGCATATTTAAGCGCGCACCATTTAGCAATTCGTTTTCTTCTCTGGATGCTGCACATTAAACCAGATGAGAAGATTCTGCAATCTTCAAGACGAGCTAAAGTAGGTTTATGCAGCAGACGACTTTACTGCGCCTGTAGCGTCTTCTACCATCATCTAACGGTATGAGGAAGAGTGGTACGAGGAAATATCATGGAATGTACCATAAGGTATTCTGTATTTTTGTATTTAGCCCATGTCCAAACTAAAGAGAGTCGTTTCAGCCCGGCATGCCTAGATACTACACAAAAATTGTTTTCACCTTGTGTTATAAAATAACCAATTATTTAACTATTATAGTTTAAAAAAAAAACAAATTTGACTTGAAATGCTTTCACAAACTGCGGCGTCAAATAAACGCATCCAACGCCCAGCATATAAAATTTTAATAATCAAAATTTCACTTCCCTGACACTCATAAATGCGCCTAATAGTGTAACGAGAGGATCATTTCTCATGACATGTGTACATTTACCAAGTTCCAGATTACCTTGAACACCATTCTCGCTTACTTTGTCGAAAAGATTTACTTGCTGAATTCCATTGAATCATCAAAGTAATGTCGCTAATTTTCCTAACCAGTAGTATATTCGGGTCTAGTCACCGATATTCCCAATAACCTCCATCAGGAAAATGCTTTTAACAGAGAAGCATGCAGTTCTTTTCCTTATTTCTAAGTTAATAAACTCCACAGAAAAGTTTTTGCCTTAACAAATATTTATGTTCCACTTCCAATAGTCCTCAATCTGCGTCCCTTGGGCTAAGTGGAGCAGGAGAGGCGAAAACCCACCTCCCTCATCAAGCCTCCGGTTGGTTGTCCGGCTGCTCCAGACTAACCAATGGGAGGAGGTAGAAGCAGCAGCAGCAGTTCCATTCAGCTTTGTTTTGGGCAGGTGCTAGAGTTATATGGTAAAGTTTTTTGCGGCTACTGGGACTGGAGTGTAGCGGAAGAAGGCAGGTAAGCAGGAGATAGAGTGATTAATCACTTTAAAGGACGTCGAGGAGAGCGCGAGAGAGAGCGACTGCACTACGTAGCCTCGCCATAGACAGCGACCGTCTCAATGTTAATAAGTCTGATAAGCGTCTGAACAATAAAACAGTCCCAGGACGTTTGTAGCTCAGCACGCCTGCCGGTATTGAGGAATGGAAAATGGAAAAAATTTCCCTTATTTGATGATCTTCCAAAAGCTGTTGAAATTCATACATGTTTTTTAAAGTTATTTACTGGCTGACTTTGAAGTAGTACGGAAATGCTTCGCCATATCACCCAGAACAATTTTGAATTTTCCATTTGAAGAATCCACACTACAGGTCAAACTTTGCTGCAACAGATAGGTTTAAAACAATAGGCCGGATATTTGACATCTCTACTGCAAAGGTTTAAACATTGCTTACTCACATCAAGGACAAATAATTTCGCATAACGATATGATTTCTCAACTTCTTTCTATCCACCCACCTCGTGTCCATCAAAATGACACTTAAAAAGTGAAATGTAACAATGACATCCCTCCTCCATAACTCTACCCCATCACCTCTCCTGTCTAAAAAGCCCACAAAATAGAGCTTCCAAGGCTAATGCCACATTACGAAAGGGGCCATCAACTCCCATCCTCGTCATCAACCACAAGTCTAACTTCAATCACGCATCGCATGAGTGAATCTCATGCATCCATCGACATCATCCTCTTTTGCTCATCAATGATTCAGCCTGCACGCAGCATGAAGACGAGGGAAGCGCAAAAAAATGCCTTACTTACTTAAACACACACCCTAATGGAGTAATGAGTGGCTGCCTCAAGGCAAATAGAATCGCCTAAGTGTAAGAGTGCCGCCAATTTGAGGTAATCCACACGAAATGAACGCAGCAAAAGGTAATCTTGAGGGCAGTGCTTAAGAATGCATCAGACCGAGTCGTCCAACCCCGTCACTCATCAAATCATTTAACACTACCTTTCTGAACCCCTTTCAGTGGCTGATTAAGATAGTTTCAAGAAATTCAGAAATGTCTTTTCAACACGCCTATTAATGCCAATTACAGACTAACAGCATAATGGAACAGGGAGTTCTCCCTCCCCCCAGACACAGAAAAGTTGGAATCAGAAGGCAGATCAGAATAGCCTGTAGGAATCGGTGGTAGTGGAGGGGAAGTGTCTAGTCACAATCCCATGGAAAGCTATCGTTTACTTCACAAAAGGCGTGGACCAATTTTCGCCTTTAGCTCTTCATTTCCGTGAATGGCGCTCTCGCGTGGGAGGAGCGCATGGAAGTGAATAGGCAATTTGGTTGTGGTTAATCAGGTGTGTAGTGTCAACTTGCAAAGGCGAAAGTGAGCGTGGACTACCAACAATAAGGCTATGATGAACGATCTGCACTATAATCGCACATTCCTATTTGACATTACCACCCACTGAAAATGGGGATTCGACCAATAGATGGAGGCTGACAGAGAAAGTCCACGTCTATTACAGCATTTGCCGTAACTGCTTATTAAGAACATAGATTGACTCACCCTTGGTGCTGACACCGACACAGACAGCCAAACAAAGTAAATGAGCCTGAATTAGATCGCATGTGGTATGCGCTCCCTCATTCCAGCCAGCGGAATGCGTGAA